ATCAGGCTTCCCAAGGCATTAGTCCTAGCACCTACTAGGGAGTTAGCCAAGCAAGTTGAGAAGGAGATACAGGAATCTGCTCCTTACGTGAAAACGGTTTGTGTTTATGGGGGTGTTTCTTATGTAACGCAGCAGAGTGCGCTTTCGCGAGGTGTTGATGTGGTGGTTGGAACACCGGGTAGAATAATTGATCTATTGAATGGAGGTAGCCTTACTCTGAGTGAGGTGCAGTATTTGGTGCTTGATGAAGCTGATCAGATGCTTGCTGTTGGGTTTGAGGAGGACGTGGAGGTCATTTTGGATAAGGTCCCTGCGCAGCGCCAGACCATGCTGTTTTCTGCTACCATGCCTGGTTGGGTCAAGAAACTGTCCAGAAAGCATTTGAACAATCCTTTGACAATTGATTTGGTAAAATCTTTTGTTGCTTTTTTTTGCTTGTCTTCTCTCTGAATATGCACAGTTGTTGACTATGTACTTGCTTATTTATGGAGTACGACTATAGAGTACAAAGTATGATATTTTTTGGGTTCGCAATGTTCTCATTGTTTAGCTCGATACACATAACATGGTCATCTCATATTTCTCATCAACAAGAAGTGGTGCTGTGCAGGGAAATAGCCTCTGTGTGATATGTTGGATTGTGGTTTAAAACAGTGTGCTTTGGTGATGAGTGAGCGTGTGAGTATACTTTTAAAAAATGATTAAAAGAAACAAATGGATTTTTCATTTATTTCATAATTAGTAAATTTTCGATTGTATTCCAATCTGTGTTGACTACAAAGTCTTGTAGGTGTACGTGTAACCTACCCTACTATTTGTGATTTATTGATGTAAAACACTAAAAGTCACCTGGATGGCAGGATTTACTTGAAGAGAAAAGCTCTTTGTCTTGACTGCATTACCATAATAATCCTTAGCTTGTATTAATGACTTATTACATGGCTTGTTTGGGTGAGTAAAAAGTTGAACATAACTACACTATGTGTTTAAATAATCTACTTCAACACCAGTGATGCAATTCCTCATCATAAACTTTTTTTATTTGTTTGGAAACATTTTGTTGTATATCTGATATAATGTGTTGGACAATTATCAACTTACAAGCCAGTCTTATATAGTCTTATATAGAGTTGAATTAGATTTGAAGTTCACTTCTTAATATAGTATGAGAGCATATCCTAGTAAGATTTGTTGGGCCTATTATGCACTCGTTATTTGGTTGCTATCATACTAGTTGCTATCATACTAGTTGCTATCAGACCACCCATGAATATATAGTCCTCTGCACAAGTTGTCTATGCTTCAACGTGAGAGGGGTGTGTTGGAGATCTTAGTCAACTAGAGATAAGGCCAATTTATAATATTTTAGTGGGAACAATCCTTAGCTTACAAGTTGGTTTTATGTTAAGCTTAACCTAACTTTCTGATGAAGGGAAAACATGAATGAATTTCCACGAAACTGACTTTTTTCTTCTGATTCTTATGCAATTGTGTATATTACTGTTCTGGCAAAAAGTTGAGTGTCTTTTACTGAAGACAAAAATACAAAAAACCCTCTTGACCTAAAGTGAAGTAGAGACCATTAAGGCCAAAATAGTTTTGTCCCTTGACCATGGAGCATTTTATTTATAAATAAATTACAAATCGTTTTTATTTTCCAGAAAATAGGAGAATACTTCAATTACACAAAATATCAATAAATACAAGATAACAAAATAACAGATAATAACTAAATATCCCATCTTCTATGCTATAATATATGTTAATGAAAATTTGGTTATAAGTTGGACTTAGGCTCAATTCCTAGGCCCAACCTTCAAGGTCGGCTTTCAGATGTTTCACATGGGTGTAAGTGCCTACTTGGCCTAAAGACGGTCCGTAGAGATGTTTGCAAGGTCAGTCATCGACCCAACGGCATCTACTTTCACCTTTTGTTCTCATGCTCAAATTTTGGGCTAGATCTTTGTAAAGTCAAGATTAAGACAAATACATTGAGGTCGATCATATCCTGAACGGTACACAGCCCTCCAACATTGAGTCTTCAATTTATGGGACGAAAAGGTTTCCATAACCTATCCACCATCTTTTAGTACTAGGTTAGGGGGCCGGATGACCGAGACAGTACACAGGCCCCTAGTCTTAAGTTGAAGTATTTGAGGCATAAAGGCTGAAAAAGTATGCTAAACCAAGTCTTGAATACTTCCTTGCCAAATTTTTCCACATGTTTTGTTTTAACTCATTCTGTTTTCTTTTCTTGTCTCTTCTCTTTGCACATAGCCAACTTAGTTTCCATTCAACTGCATTACTTTTTCTCATGTCATCTTCTGGTAAGTTTCTCCCTTTTTGTTAAATTTGGCATCCTTCTCTAGCTGCCTATTAATTTATGGCCTGATTTACTTTACTTTTTAGGCCAGTCTCCAGCCGAGCTGAGTTAGTTGCTTTAAGTGGGCATCTTCGCCCCCCAAGCCGAGCTTGGAGTTTCTCTTTTGTTGTCAAATTGGTAATTCATGAGCCTTCAATGACTAGAAAAACTATAAAAATAACAAGTTATATAAAAGACAAGTTTATAATTCAAGATCTTTACTCTTATGTTAGATCCACGACCTTCATGAGCCTTCAGTAAATAACTAGGTGGGCAAACTTACCTATCATATACTTCTGGTGTTTAACATAGAAAATGGTGAAATCAAATATAAAATAACTTTAATAAGTTGATAATAGTGCTCGGTAACCACGAGTGTTTTTACTCATTATCACCTTTCATTAAGGCCTTTGAGTAATAAGGAAATATTTGGATAAGTTAAAATATCTAGACTGCTAATATGTGAGCCCTCAATGATAAGATTTTAATGCTTACTTTATTACCAGTAAAAGACACTCAGTTTTTTGCTGGATCGATTACTAATGCTTACCTTATTGTAGAATGAAAATTAGTCATGATTAAGATGTGTTTTAATAACAGGAAATTGATTATGATGTTTTTTTTCTCTTTTTTGGTGAACAAGGTTGGCGAACAAGAAGAGAAACTTGCTGAAGGGATCAAACTTTATGCTTTATCAGCCACTGCCACTTCAAAACGGACAGTTCTGTCTGATCTTATAACTGTAAGTTTGCTATTATGATTTTTCAAATTACATTCTTAAGTTGATGTTTGGTAATTTCAAAAGCTTATATTTCTAAATTCTGATTTGGATGGTGTTATTGTAAGATATGATAATAAAAAAAGACTTAATTGCATACATTACCACTAACCTTTTATACATTTGTGAATTTACCATTGAACTTTAAATTTCTCAAATTTTATCTTCTGAATTTAAAATCATTCAATTCTTAAATTTCTGTCAAATGGCTGTCAAGTTATTAACAATACGTTGTTGTGATCAATGTGAGGTAAATTTAAATTACACATTTTATGACGGAACGTTTTGCATTTTTGCAATTTTTTTTGCTTTTTTGCAAATTTTGTCTCTAAACTTTTAATTTCTTGAGTTTTACTTCTAAGTTCTCAATTTTTGCGGTTCAGCCATATAAATTTCAAAACTATCCACACATGAACTTTGTGGGAATTGATATGAAGTTATTAACAATGTGATGATATGACAAATAAATAAGGTAGGACAACAAAGGTGTGATTATGTGACCAATAAATTAAGTGGATATATTTCATCTTGTATTAATTAGATGGTGAAGTAACACCCCTGCGATTAATATTAAACTATTCGTTCAATTTATTTTTATTTCACTCCAGTGATTTTTATAGAATCTTAAGATTTTGATTTCTTTAGCTGCATTCATGCTTAAAATCCTACCTAGTTCATATTTTTAAATATATTATCAGGGTTGATGTTCGGATAGCGGTGAAATAACTACTACTTTTACTGAAAGCTATATAACAGAGTAAAATATGGAAAATATAAGAAAAATCTAAAAAGTTGTTTTTAAATAATAAATAATTATGATATTTTTGACATTTTATTGAGATGGTTTTTATGACATAACTGGTGTACCCTAAACGGTTGCATAGTTAAAAAAATAGCATTAGAGTAAAAGATATTTTTGTGAAATTATAATTAAATCGTTTTAATCTTATGTATGTTAGTAATATTATTTTGGCTAAAACTACTCCAAATATCTACATTTCATATTTACTTTCCTTTTTCTCAACCTTGTCCAAATCAATAACGTCATTATTTTACCTCAAACTCACATTAGAGCACTAAATGATGTTGTTATATTGTTAGTAAATTGACATTCATTATAGAAAGGTAAGATGTGTATAGTTTTTAAATTCAGTTGGTGAAATTGCTGAAAATGAAACCTCAAAGGTAAGATTGACGAAATTGAAGAAGTTTTATAACTTGCAAGATGGAATTTTTAGTAGTAAAATTTGTAAAATAGTAATAGTTTAGTGATAAAATGTGTATGTAATGTATTTCCACCCTGAACTGAAAGCAACCTTACATTGGCCACGTTATCACACTTTTAGTGATTTGACGTAAGGGTAAAATGTGTATTATTTTTAAGTTCATGGGGTAAAAATTTGCGAAATTGAAAGTTCAACCTAAAACTTGAACAAGTGTAAAAATGTAGTGTAAAATTTGCACAACCTTACTGGGAAGTTTTGTTTTCGTTATTCTCATATTGGGATGTAGTTCGTGTGAAATACCCTGACAAACTTATGGCTGAGAATTCTCGAAGGTTCATTCTACTGTTGCAATTTAATTTAGTTTTATGTTACTGAATATACTTCAATTTCAATAATTCCACTGAATGTTACCATGTCGTTTAGGTTTATGCAAAGGGTGGAAAGACTATTGTTTTTACGCAGACAAAAAAGGATGCTGATGAAGTATCATTGGCATTAACGAGTAGTATAGCCTCTGAAGCACTGCATGGTGATATATCTCAGCATCAGAGAGAGAGAACATTGAATGGTTTTCGACAAGGGAAATTCACAGTGCTTGTTGCCACTGATGTTGCTGCTCGTGGACTTGATATTCCGAATGTTGATTTGGTAAGCTGAAAATGATGATTTTTAGTGAACATAAATGTCCCTTTTCCAACTTTTTATTTTATCAAGATTTTTCTTGAAATTTTAGCATTTTTTTTCTATATGACAACAAATGTTGAAGTAGTAAACTCGAACACTTGGATTATTTTAATTTAGATGTTAGTATTTTTAATGAAGACTCATGTTTTATTTAATTGTTAAAAATGAGGGTCTCGTAGTTTGAGTCTTGATCCCTAGGTTGGATCAAAACTTCATTGCCCATTTTAGATTGAAGTTTCTCAATTCTTAAGTTTGGTTTGGTTGTTGTTTACACAATCTGGTTTATTTTTCTGTGTAAGGAGACATTTCCAGTGTATCTGACGTTATTCAATCTATATCACGGTGCAGTATTTATACTACTTGTCATTTAGAAAATGTGTTTGTGTAAGCAGTACCGTGATAACTTCTTTGGACTCTATTTCAGTTCTGTTTATATACAGAAGTTTATGACCTAACATTTGAAATCAAATAACAATGCTTTTGTCAAATACCGAATTGCTCTCTGTTGTCAGCATACTGAGAAGCTCGTTGGTATTACTTTGTTTTCTTCAGGTTATACATTATGAACTTCCCAATGATGCTGAGACTTTTGTACATCGTTCTGGTCGCACTGGGCGGGCAGGAAAAGAGGGTACTGCCATATTGATGTACACCAGTAGCCAGAAGAGAACAGTTAGATCCCTTGAGCATGATGTTGGCTGCAAATTTGAATTCATTAGTCCACCGGCTATGGAAGAAATTTTGGAGTCATCTGCTGAACAAGTTGTTGCTACACTTAATAGAGTTCATCCAGAGTCTGTGAAGTTTTTCACTGCAACTGCGCAAAAACTGGTTGAAGAACAAGGAGCAAGTGCCCTTGCAGCTGCTCTAGCACAGATGAGTGGATTCTCTCAACCTCCATCATGTCGGTCTCTTATCAATCATGAACAGGTGTTGTAGAAGCATATGTTTTCAAATTGAAATTTAAGTCTTGAAATTTTCTAGAGGATATATTTTTTTAACCGTATTCCTTCTGGGTGATACTATACATAATGATTTATATTTCATGAAAAGGATGTGCCATCTGAATCTAATGAAAATCTGTTCAGCACAATAAAAAGCTTAATAGTAATTGCAATATAATTTTTAGATTATATTATTTAAATCAGCTTTACAAGGGTTCTCCTAACGTTAAAACCCGCATAATTTGGTATAATTGGTTTTGATATTTAACATTTGCTTCTCGGTTAATATTTTGACGAGGTGATCGTTTGATTAGTATTTGAGTTGGAACTAGTTTTCAAAAATATTAGAACACAATATTGGTTCTAAGTTAACTAGTTTTTTTTTTTTTTTAAATATCAAATTTCATGTATATGTGTGTATGTATATATACTCTGTGAATGGGTTATTTTGTTCATTAAAACTCGAGTATTGCAGGGATGGATTACACTACAACTTACACGAGATTCAGACACTTCTGGAAGATTTTTTTCTGCAAGATCTGTCACTGGGTTTCTTTCTGATGTTTATTCTCCAGCTGCTGATGAAGTTGGAAAAATACATTTAATTGCAGATGAGAGGGTCTGTAGCTAAGTACTACTATTTTTTTCTTTTGTGCTAGTTTATGTAAGGAACTTCAGTATTACTAATAATCATCGCATCATTCAATTTATTTTAAAGTTGGTAATGCCTGTATCAGATTAAAGGAGCTGTCTTTGATCTCCCGGAGGAAGTTGCTAGAGAGTTGCTCAAAAAGGAACTGCCTTCTGGAAACACTATTTCCAAAATCACCAAAGTAAAATAGCGAAGTTTGGCTAATCTTCTTTTCTTCATTTTATTGTTTGTGTAGTGTACTTCCTGTACTAAAACAGCAACCATATTTTGGTATCAGTTTATTGTATTGGAGTAACAATTTGACAAAATGTAAATTCATATTGCATTTGTGGCAGTTACCTCCTTTGCAAGACGATGAACCTGCAAGTGATTTCTATGGGAAGTTTTCTGACAGAGACAGAAGTAACCGAAGGGGTTCTAATTCTAGGGATCAAAGAGGCTTTAGAAGTTCACGAGGATGGGAAGGAGGCCAAGACTCTGATGATGAGTTCGGAAGAGGCAGTAGAAATTTCAGATCAGGCAACAATAGGTCTCGAATGGGAAAAAACAGCGGCGATGACTGGCTAATTGGAGGTGGACGATCCAACAGATTTTCATCATCCAACAGGTTATAGTATAGCACAAGTTATAGACTTTAGTTACGGCTTTACTTATGTTTGTTACATTTCTTCCTATTTATAAATGTATATTTAACGAAATTTGAACGTGCATTTGCAGAAGCGGGCACGGAGGGGCCTGTTTCAATTGTGGACAACCTGGCCATCGAGCTGCAGATTGTCGCAAAAAACGAGACTTTTTCTAGTTTGTACATCTTTCGCTCTGGCACCACCCAATCACATATCTAGGGAGCTGCACTATTGATGCCCTAACATGGGGGGTTCAAGAAATTGAAGATGCTTTCCCACAGAATCACAGAATCGATCTTACATTTAATATCTATTATTTTTTTAGAATTCTACGGAGAGGTCTCCACCTGTCCTGTCCAGAGAATGAACATTTTTGTCGTCACCCTTATTGTAATATTTATTTTTTTATCATTTCATTGAGGCATCATGGTATTTTTTTTGGCAAGAACAGTTACTGTACAATGCTCTTTTGTCAGCTTAACCGTTGTTTCAGAAAAGAGAGGTATACATTTTTCACTAGTTCATGAATGATATTACTTTCTATCATACAATTTAAACTCGGCCGTAATTTTACTAATTTTATGACTGAGTGCTGGTATTACCAAAGTTGAAATGCATAACGAACAAGTGCCACGTATAAACCAAAGACAAAAAAACATACTTCATTTTCACACTCGAACATGTTCAAACAACGTTATAGCACTATTTGCCAAAAAGAACGTTTATGAGATTTCTAAAAACTGGGCCTCTTCTATTGCTTGCAACCTCTCTCACAGCCTTCTCGTCGGGGACAAACCCCTTAGCTTTCATTTGCTCCAGCAAGCGTGTAGCTTCATCTATCCTCTCTTCCTTCAGCAGCCCCTCAAACACAGAGGTATAAGTTTTTGCATTGGGTTTCATCCCTTTATCCATCATTTCCAAAAGGTACTTATTAGCGTCCCTCACAAACTTGGCATCAGCAGCAAGAGCCGTAATGAGAACCGNAAACCAAGTCTTGAATACTTCCTTGCCAAATTTTTCCACATGTTTTGTTTTAACTCATTCTGTTTTCTTTTCTTGTCTCTTCTCTTTGCACATAGCCAACTTAGTTTCCATTCAACTGCATTACTTTTTCTCATGTCATCTTCTGGTAAGTTTCTCCCTTTTTGTTAAATTTGGCATCCTTCTCTAGCTGCCTATTAATTTATGGCCTGATTTACTTTACTTTTTAGGCCAGTCTCCAGCCGAGCTGAGTTAGTTGCTTTAAGTGGGCATCTTAGCCCCCCAAGCCGAGCTTGGAGTTTCTCTTTTGTTGTCAAATTGGTAATTCATGAGCCATCAATGACTAGAAAAACTATAAAAATAACAAGTTATATAAAAGACAAGTTTATAATTCAAGATCTTTACTCTTATGTTAGATCCACGACCTTCATGAGCCTTCAGTAAATAACTAGGTGGGCAAACTTACCTATCATATACTTCTGGTGTTTCAACATAGAAAATGGTGAAATCAAATATAAAATAACTTTAATAAGTTGATAATAGTGCTCGGTAACCACGAGTGTTTTTACTCATTATCACCTTTCATTAAGGCCTTTGAGTAATAAGGAAATATTTGGATAAGTTAAAATATCTAGACTGCTAATATGTGAGCCCTCAATGATAAGATTTTAATGCTTACTTTATTACCAGTAAAAGACACTCAGTTTTTTGCTGGATCGATTACTAATGCTTACCTTATTGTAGAATGAAAATTAGTCATGATTAAGATGTGTTTTAATAACAGGAAATTGATTATGATGTTTTTTTTCTCTTTTTTGGTGAACAAGGTTGGCGAACAAGAAGAGAAACTTGCTGAAGGGATCAAACTTTATGCTTTATCAGCCACTGCCACTTCAAAACGGACAGTTCTGTCTGATCTTATAACTGTAAGTTTGCTATTATGATTTTTCAAATTACATTCTTAAGTTGATGTTTGGTAATTTCAAAAGCTTATATTTCTAAATTCTGATTTGGATGGTGTTATTGTAAGATATGATAATAAAAAAAGACTTAATTGCATACATTACCACTAACCTTTTATACATTTGTGAATTTACCATTGAACTTTAAATTTCTCAAATTTTATCTTCTGAATTTAAAATCATTCAATTCTTAAATTTCTGTCAAATGGCTGTCAAGTTATTAACAATACGTTGTTGTGATCAATGTGAGGTAAATTTAAATTACACATTTTATGACGGAACGTTTTGCATTTTTGCAATTTTTTTTGCTTTTTTGCAAATTTTGTCTCTAAACTTTTAATTTCTTGAGTTTTACTTCTAAGTTCTCAATTTTTGCGGTTCAGCCATATAAATTTCAAAACTATCCACACATGAACTTTGTGGGAATTGATATGAAGTTATTAACAATGTGATGATATGACAAATAAATAAGGTAGGACAACAAAGGTGTGATTATGTGACCAATAAATTAAGTGGATATATTTCATCTTGTATTAATTAGATGGTGAAGTAACACCCCTGCGATTAATATTAAACTATTCGTTCAATTTATTTTTATTTCACTCCAGTGATTTTTATAGAATCTTAAGATTTTGATTTCTTTAGCTGCATTCATGCTTAAAATCCTACCTAGTTCATATTTTTAAATATATTATCAGGGTTGATGTTCGGATAGCGGTGAAATAACTACTACTTTTACTGAAAGCTATATAACAGAGTAAAATATGGAAAATATAAGAAAAATCTAAAAAGTTGTTTTTAAATAATAAATAATTATGATATTTTTGACATTTTATTGAGATGGTTTTTATGACATAACTGGTGTACCCTAAACGGTTGCATAGTTAAAAAAATAGCATTAGAGTAAAAGATATTTTTGTGAAATTATAATTAAATCGTTTTAATCTTATGTATGTTAGTAATATTATTTTGGCTAAAACTACTCCAAATATCTACATTTCATATTTACTTTCCTTTTTCTCAACCTTGTCCAAATCAATAACGTCATTATTTTACCTCAAACTCACATTAGAGCACTAAATGATGTTGTTATATTGTTAGTAAATTGACATTCATTATAGAAAGGTAAGATGTGTATAGTTTTTAAATTCAGTTGGTGAAATTGCTGAAAATGAAACCTCAAAGGTAAGATTAACGAAATTGAAGAAGTTTTATAACTTGCAAGATGGAATTTTTAGTAGTAAAATTTGTAAAATAGTAATAGTTTAGTGATAAAATGTGTATGTAATGTATTTCCACCCTGAACTGAAAGCAACCTTACATTGGCCACGTTATCACACTTTTAGTGATTTGACGTAAGGGTAAAATGTGTATTATTTTTAAGTTCATGGGGTAAAAATTTGCGAAATTGAAAGTTCAACCTAAAACTTGAACAAGTGTAAAAATGTAGTGTAAAATTTGCACAACCTTACTGGGAAGTTTTGTTTTCGTTATTCTCATATTGGGATGTAGTTCGTGTGAAATACCCTGACAAACTTATGGCTGAGAATTCTCGAAGGTTCATTCTACTGTTGCAATTTAATTTAGTTTTATGTTACTGAATATACTTCAATTTCAATAATTCCACTGAATGTTACCATGTCGTTTAGGTTTATGCAAAGGGTGGAAAGACTATTGTTTTTACGCAGACAAAAAAGGATGCTGATGAAGTATCATTGGCATTAACGAGTAGTATAGCCTCTGAAGCACTGCATGGTGATATATCTCAGCATCAGAGAGAGAGAACATTGAATGGTTTTCGACAAGGGAAATTCACAGTGCTTGTTGCCACTGATGTTGCTGCTCGTGGACTTGATATTCCGAATGTTGATTTGGTAAGCTGAAAATGATGATTTTTAGTGAACATAAATGTCCCTTTTCCAACTTTTTATTTTATCAAGATTTTTCTTGAAATTTTAGCATTTTTTTTCTATATGACAACAAATGTTGAAGTAGTAAACTCGAACACTAGGATTATTTTAATTTAGATGTTAGTATTTTTAATGAAGACTCATGTTTTATTTAATTGTTAAAAATGAGGGTCTCGTAGTTTGAGTCTTGATCCCTAAGGTTGGATCAAAACTTCATTGCCCATTTTAGATTGAAGTTTCTCAATTCTTAAGTTTGGTTTGGTTGTTGTTTACACAATCTGGTTTATTTTTCTGTGTAAGGAGACATTTCCAGTGTATCTGACGTTATTCAATCTATATCACGGTGCAGTATTTATACTACTTGTCATTTAGAAAATGTGTTTGTGTAAGCAGTACCGTGATAACTTCTTTGGACTCTATTTCAGTTCTGTTTATATACAGAAGTTTATGACCTAACATTTGAAATCAAATAACAATGCTTTTGTCAAATACCGAATTGCTCTCTGTTGTCAGCATACTGAGAAGCTCGTTGGTATTACTTTGTTTTCTTCAGGTTATACATTATGAACTTCCCAATGATGCTGAGACTTTTGTACATCGTTCTGGTCGCACTGGGCGGGCAGGAAAAGAGGGTACTGCCATATNACCATGTCGTTTAGGTTTATGCAAAGGGTGGAAAGACTATTGTTTTTACGCAGACAAAAAAGGATGCTGATGAAGTATCATTGGCATTAACGAGTAGTATAGCCTCTGAAGCACTGCATGGTGATATATCTCAGCATCAGAGAGAGAGAACATTGAATGGTTTTCGACAAGGGAAATTCACAGTGCTTGTTGCCACTGATGTTGCTGCTCGTGGACTTGATATTCCGAATGTTGATTTGGTAAGCTGAAAATGATGATTTTTAGTGAACATAAATGTCCCTTTTCCAACTTTTTATTTTATCAAGATTTTTCTTGAAATTTTAGCATTTTTTTTCTATATGACAACAAATGTTGAAGTAGTAAACTCGAACACTAGGATTATTTTAATTTAGATGTTAGTATTTTTAATGAAGACTCATGTTTTATTTAATTGTTAAAAATGAGGGTCTCGTAGTTTGAGTCTTGATCCCTAAGGTTGGATCAAAACTTCATTGCCCATTTTAGATTGAAGTTTCTCAATTCTTAAGTTTGGTTTGGTTGTTGTTTACACAATCTGGTTTATTTTTCTGTGTAAGGAGACATTTCCAGTGTATCTGACGTTATTCAATCTATATCACGGTGCAGTATTTATACTACTTGTCATTTAGAAAATGTGTTTGTGTAAGCAGTACCGTGATAACTTCTTTGGACTCTATTTCAGTTCTGTTTATATACAGAAGTTTATGACCTAACATTTGAAATCAAATAACAATGCTTTTGTCAAATACCGAATTGCTCTCTGTTGTCAGCATACTGAGAAGCTCGTTGGTATTACTTTGTTTTCTTCAGGTTATACATTATGAACTTCCCAATGATGCTGAGACTTTTGTACATCGTTCTGGTCGCACTGGGCGGGCAGGAAAAGAGGGTACTGCCATATTGATGTACACCAGTAGCCAGAAGAGAACAGTTAGATCCCTTGAGCATGATGTTGGCTGCAAATTTGAATTCATTAGTCCACCGGCTATGGAAGAAATTTTGGAGTCATCTGCTGAACAAGTTGTTGCTACACTTAATAGAGTTCATCCAGAGTCTGTGAAGTTTTTCACTGCAACTGCGCAAAAACTGGTTGAAGAACAAGGAGCAAGTGCCCTTGCAGCTGCTCTAGCACAGATGAGTGGATTCTCTCAACCTCCATCATGTCGGTCTCTTATCAATCATGAACAGGTGTTGTAGAAGCATATGTTTTCAAATTGAAATTTAAGTCTTGAAATTTTCTAGAGGATATATTTTTTTAACCGTATTCCTTCTGGGTGATACTATACATAATGATTTATATTTCATGAAAAGGATGTGCCATCTGAATCTAATGAAAATCTGTTCAGCACAATAAAAAGCTAAATAGTAATTGCAATATAATTTTTAGATTATATTATTTAAATCAGCTTTACAAGGGTTCTCCTAACGTTAAAACCCACATAATTTGGTATAATTGGTTTTGATATTTAACATTTGCTTCTCGGTTAATATTTTGACGAGGTGATCGTTTGATTAGTATTTGAGTTGGAACTAGTTTTCAAAAATATTAGAACACAATATTGGTTCTAAGTTAACTAGTTTTTTTTTTTTTTTAAATATCAAATTTCATGTATATGTGTGTATGTATATATACTCTGTGAATGGGTTATTTTGTTCATTAAAACTCGAGTATTGCAGGGATGGATTACACTACAACTTACACGAGATTCAGACACTTCTGGAAGATTTTTTTCTGCAAGATCTGTCACTGGGTTTCTTTCTGATGTTTATTCTCCAGCTGCTGATGAAGTTGGAAAAATACATTTAATTGCAGATGAGAGGGTCTGTAGCTAAGTACTACTATTTTTTTCTTTTGTGCTAGTTTATGTAAGGAACTTCAGTATTACTAATAATCATCGCATCATTCAATTTATTTTAAAGTTGGTAATGCCTGTATCAGATTAAAGGAGCTGTCTTTGATCTCCCGGAGGAAGTTGCTAGAGAGTTGCTCAAAAAGGAACTGCCTTCTGGAAACACTATTTCCAAAATCACCAAAGTAAAATAGCGAAGTTTGGCTAATCTTCTTTTCTTCATTTTATTGTTTGTGTAGTGTACTACCTGTACTAAAACAGCAACCATATTTTGGTATCAGTTTATTGTATTGGAGTAACAATTTGACAAAATGTAAATTCATATTGCATTTGTGGCAGTTACCTACTTTGCAAGACGATGAACCTGCAAGTGATTTCTATGGGAAGTTTTCTGACAGAGACAGAAGTAACCGAAGGGGTTCTAATTCTAGGGATCAAAGAGGCTTTAGAAGTTCACGAGGATGGGAAGGAGGCCAAGACTCTGATGATGAGTTCGGAAGAGGCAGTAGAAATTTCAGATCAGGCAACAATAGGTCTCGAATGGGAAAAAACAGCGGCGATGACTGGCTAATTGGAGGTGGACGATCCAACAGATTTTCATCATCCAACAGGTTATAGTATAGCACAAGTTATAGACTTTAGTTACGGCTTTACTTATGTTTGTTACATTTCTTCCTATTTATAAATGTATATTTAACGAAATTTGAACGTGCATTTGCAGAAGCGGGCACGGAGGGGCCTGTTTCAATTGTGGACAACCTGGCCATCGAGCTGCAGATTGTCGCAAAAAACGAGACTTTTTCTAGTTTGTACATCTTTCGCTCTGGCACCACCCAATCACATATCTAGGGAGCTGCACTATTGATGCCCTAACATGGGGGGTTCAAGAAATTGAAGATGCTTTCCCACAGAATCACAGAATCGATCTTACATTTAATATCTATTATTTTTTTAGAATTCTACGGAGAGGTCTCCACCTGTCCTGTCCAGAGAATGAACATTTTTGTCGTCACCCTTATTGTAATATTTATTTTTTTATCATTTCATTGAGGCATCATGGTATTTTTTTTGGCAAGAACAGTTACTGTACAATGCTCTTTTGTCAGCTTAACCGTTGTTTCAGAAAAGAGAGGTATACATTTTTCACTAGTTCATGAATGATATTACTTTCTATCATACAATTTAAACTCGGCCGTAATTTTACTAATTTTATGACTGAGTGCTGGTATTACCAAAGTTGAAATGCATAACGAACAAGTGCCACGTATAAACCAAAGACAAAAAAACATACTTCATTTTCACACTCGAACATGTTCAAACAACGTTATAGCACTATTTGCCAAAAAGAACGTTTATGAGATTTCTAAAAACTGGGCCTCTTCTAATGCTTGCAACCTCTCTCACAGCCTTCTCGTCGGGAACAAACCCCTTAGCTTTCATTTGCTCCAGCAAGCGTGTAGCTTCATCTATCCTCTCTTCCTTCAGCAGCCCCTCAAACACAGAGGTATAAGTTTTTGCATTGGGTTTCATCCCTTTATCCATCATTTCCAAAAGGTACTTATTAGCGTCCCTCACAAACTTGGCATCAGCAGCAAGAGCCGTAATGAGAACCGCATATGTGTAAGCGTTGGGCGACACCCCAGAAGCGAGCATACGCATGTAAACCTTGTGAGCCTCTTTTGGCTGTGCAGCGTTAGCGTAGGCCTCGAGGATGGCGGTGTGGGCCACCACGTCGGGCATCTGACCCTTGTCCTTGATCTGGCCGAAGAGCTCCAGCGCCTCGTGGGTCAGACCCTCTTTGGACAATGCGTCGAACATCTTCACTGCGTGGTTGAACAACCCATCGCCGCTCCTCATGTCATGGAAAATCTGTTGCAAGTCCTTTGGGTCCTTGGGGTCTTCTATTGCGGGCTTCTTGCTGAAGGGGTCGTAAGGGGGTGGGACTACCCTATTGGTTTTTCCGGTTTCTTTGTGGGTATTGTTGTTTTGGTCGTCGGATTCGGAGTCTGAGTCGGAGAGGGAGAAGTTGAGCTTGGTGTCGATGGGGGTTTTGGTGGAACAGAAATGACGATGAACGGTGGGGGTGTTTGAAACGGAAACGGGTGGGGATTGAGGGGGTAAGAGTAGTGACGAAAAAGCGTGTGGGAGGGAGGTGCTTGAGAAGGTGTTAGGGTTAATGTTAGAGTTGGTGGTGAAAATTAAAGTGCGACGTATTGCTGTTACTGTTGCTCGGCCGCACAAAGAAGCCATTGTCTTGTTTGTTCTCTTCTGCTAACTATCACTCCACTTACTTGTGGCAAGAAGAGGCATTCAATACATCTCTCTCTTTACTCAAGTTTGAAATCCTTCTAGTACTTTCCGACTGTGGCGGCGCTTAGTAAATCTTTTCATGACATTGGGCCGGGGGATTTAGCATCCGACACTCTACAAGTTAACAGCTTTTACCAGAAAATAAACATAGTATAAAATTAAAAACAATTTACTGAAATAATATACTCCAAATAATTTACCAAACATGTGTTATAACACGATAAAATGTTTTAGGAAAGACTCAGTTGTCTCAACCACAATATTTGTGGTCAATCTGGTTGGGTTCTATTTATTTGAAAAGGTTAATTCAGCTCTAATCAATTGAGCCGGTTCGTTAAAACTAAAATAAAAAAATAGATATATGCATTTGTTGATTAACAAATTATAAACCATCAGATAAACATAGCTTTATAGGAACAGAAATATTATTTACCAGTCTTCAAAATGCATGAATAAATGAATCTTGACTAGCAATAACACGTGATTGAATCTACATGATAAATATATACATCTACAACGTTAACATTAGCATGGATCTTTGTTATTACTCGAAAGTCTGTACATTTTCTCGTATCTAGTCACTAAAATATCATTTAAGCAAAAATTGTTTCTAGTTTCTACTGTATCCGATCTTTCTAATTCACTTAAGCTTATGTTTCATTTTAGTCGAACAAGACTGCAATTTTTAAAGGAGATTATTCAACGTGACAGTTTCTCATTTGTTGAGAAAAGTGAAAAATGCCATAACATTTTGCAATTGTACAAATAGTTTAAAGCAGAATAAAGATGGTTAGTTTTTGACTTGACCATTATGTATCACCTCTAGCAATTGCGAGACACCACTCAGTAATATTGAGGACAAGTCAATATTTATTAAAGTCGCGCGCTGATTTTCAGATTCAAACAGCAAAAAGATATCATCTTCGCAAGAGCTATTTGGCAACCATGGTATTTTTAAACTCAAACTCAAATGATGGGAAGATAAGACCGCAAATTCGGAGTTTCACTCTAGCTATGTGTACAATCAATAAAACTTAAGGTGAAAGCTCCCATGAGAGCACTCATTGCACAATTTTTAGCGGAGACAACTTTAGATTAGTTGTTCGTTCGAAGTACTGGGAGAATATCCTCGACGAAATGGTGAGGCAGGTCAACAAAACATAAAATTCAATAATAATAGCTCTCTCCCAAAGTTGGGTAGTACAATTAGAGTCAGTAGTCAACTAAAATAAATTTATGAATTTGTAACAAAACAAATTACAGTTTTTAAGATCAAAAAATTCCACTTGGATAAAATCTAGATACTCGGCTGATTGCTTCACTCGAAAACGTCCTCACCGAGCTACCAACCCTTGGGCAGCCTGGGGCCCATCTTCCGTTATTTTGTTGGCCTGAATGGTACTGATAACATTTGCAACATTTCCCTAGAAATAGATAACATTTATCAAACATCACAGTGAATAGAACATCAGTTACTTGTGTTGAAGCAATGACATTTCATCTGTATTATTCAACAAATTAAAATCCAAGTGCACTAACATCATGTAGACCAAATCGCATAATAATGATCTCGTGTAAAAAGCTAGATAAGTCGTGCAAACATTTTCCAGGAAAAATAAAATAAAATATATAAAATGTATACACCAACAATAATGCATAGATGAAATTTGTCGTTTGAGGTACACAAACTGAATTTTTATTTATAAAAATGCCAAGCATTTCAACAGACAGCATGATTCAAATTGACAGGCTTTTCAAATCTTAAAATATTTACTCATGTTATTGAAGGTCACAATAAATTCTGAATAGTAGCTACCGATAGTTTTTTCCTTTTTAAAATGAATTCAATTATCATACTCGTACTATGTGGATGGATGTATCAGAGGAATAGTATAAATAGTTCTGTGAATTATGGCATAACTAATTATAATTCTAAAAATTGCAGACGAGAAATTATTTACCCTCCATGTCACCAGCTTTGTTCTCAGTGCCTGCCATTGATGCTGACCAAACACACGACCAGTAGGATGACTGCACATTTAAGACTTGCATTAAAGTGTGCATAACAGTAAAATAAAGTTTCAACGTGGAGAGATATATGATGCTCAACAAAAATAGTTATGGTGAAGAGGTTCGTGTATAGGAAGGTAGTAGGTGCAGAGAAAGACAATCGATAGAGGTAGAACATACCTAACAACCACTACTTGATTCATTTGATCCAACTTACAGTCAATTAACTTGGCAGTTATTGCTCTAACCACCCACAGTTCCACTTCATCATCATTGATCTGAAGGGAATGTTGCAAGATTTCAATTATGATAGGAAGAACACAATTACAAAACATAAAATAAAAATACAAATTTACCTGAAGTGTGTCCCTGATAAGTTCATAAGGAATGGTGCCAGATGCATCGGAGCTAAGATCCACCAATGACATCAGCCTCATTTTAGCAATGCATTCTTCATGTACAAGGCCTAAAAACATCATAACATCAAAAAAATTTGATAGTAACATAAAGTAGAACGTAGTTATGTATCTACATGTAAACAATATTCGTTCATGAACAGTGTTTACCATATGTTTTCAACAAGGTGGAATTTGTAGCATGATATTCTAAGTAAGCATCCAGCCTCTGAGTAACAAAAATCTTAAGAAGCTCATATAACAAACCATATTTGGCATCCTTCTCCAGTTGAGCAACAGCCGGCAAGTCTAGTAAATCACACTACAGGATAATCAACTTAGTGAATGCTCTTCTAGAACTCAAAGCAATCTAGATCAACAATGGCATTAAAAATGGCAAACTTAAAATATCTATGTAAAATTCCACGACAAAAAACAAAAATTGCAATTACTAAATAAAGATGACCTATAACAAAAAGCGCCCTAATCACCTTATCTGTTTAAGTACTGGTCAGAAAATTTCCATTTCCACTGTAACATGCTTCTATATAATTATACACATCCAGATACAGACCAGATAATCATGCACTATCAAAGCAGTATAAGCTATTGAAAAATTTGTGATATTACTACTGACAAAACAAAAAGTTAACTCCTAAAAATAGTTGAACATAGGAAGCTGAAATTGTAAGATTATACAACCATTCAAACATCGTAATTACATATTGGACAAGGTACCTGAAAGATTTCAGGAGCCCTAACAAATTCCACAATTGCATGTGCAGCCTCCTCCTTGGCTTCACTCAAAACTTGGGCATCTTCTCCCAAAAAAGTTGCCAGATAACTGGTCAGGAACTTTAAAGCATCCTTTGACATACTGAGATAAAGTAAGATGAAATACTAATTACATGTTTAAAAAATGAAATAAAAAACTCAGGTAGTACTCCCACTCTGAAGAGAGGTAAAGAGAACAAAAATAAAATTGACATGTACAGGAATCTGCTATACCTTTTATTTTCCTTCAAAATATTAGAAATAGCAAGAAAGAGCTCTCTCTGTTCCGGTATCCCAATTTTCCAGTCTTTCAAAAAGTCGTCAATTTTTTTGAATGAAGGTATAATGAATTCAGTGACTTTCCCATCAACAGCTAAATTCAGTGTCTTCATGTAAACATAAAACTGGCAGTATGGAGTCTCCAAAAGATTGTACAGATTGATCAAACTGTAGAGAAAAGATACTTCAAAAATAATAATATAAATAGTCACACCATAATGCATGACCAGAAATTTTAAACCAAGCAGCATGTGATATTACATTTTCAATCGCACAAC